AATATTTTATGAAATTATTGGCTTGAATTAGGGCTGGAATGATTCATTGATGAATTGCGATTGTTTCCATATTATTGATCCATTCTGTTTGATAAGAATAATCGTGTCAAATGACACTGAATCTTTGTGCGTGTAAGAAATAGTGTCATTTTTTTATTTTACAAGTATTATTTCACATCAAAATTTGCAAAAAATTCATTTTGAGTTAAAAATTGTGATTTTATTACAATTCCTTATTTCTAGATATTTTCATGTGCTTCATAGTGACAAATTTGATAGTACTTTAACACATTTTTACTATTTTTCTTTCTTTCCGTAATAAATGAAATGTGATAATTATTGCAATAAATTGTATTGTTGAGTATCGTATAGTGTATTGAATTGCAACTTCAAGAAACGTTGCAGCCTTACTTTGAATTTAAATGGGTATTATAAAAGAATACTTTTTAGTGTTGTGCTTTAATTTTTAGAAATATTTTTTGTAGGTAAAGAGACAGTGATTTGAAGTTTTTGTTCTTAATTGATTGTGGTAAGTTTTTTCTGTTGTTGATACTGATGATCTTTATTTCATTTAGGGTCTATATTGATTGGTGTTACTCAAGTCTATCAGACTGTGGTTTGTTTTTGGTGGTTCAATTGTGTACAATGCTTGTACAACTGAGAAGTTATTTTCAGATTTTGAGTGTTGTTTTATCATCCTAGAATGAAGTTACTGAAAAATAGACAAATAGTTTTGCATACTTCTTTATTCTTATGGATTATTGCTGCAATTGATTATTGAAAGCATGATCAATTTTAGCTAAAAAAAAAAACCCAGACCTCAAATGAAAGTGTGTGTGTTTAAATTGATAAAAGATTTTATATATAATAAATAATTGTATTTTTATATATTTCAGGATACTTGGTAAGTGTTATAAAATTTTGAAGCTAAATGATGCATAATGAAAAGAAAAATAAACAACCCAAAAAGGTGAAAGTTGATGAGGACTCTTTGCTCAATATAGAAATATACTGTAATGATTTTGTTTTGAAAAATTGTGTTTCATTTTAAAATGCATGTATGTGTGAAATAAAATTAATGGTGTTTTCATTTGACATGTTATTTGTAAATGAAAGGATTTTGGGGAAAACATTTTACTAAAAGAGAAAAATGATATCATTTTGCAAATAAGTATTAATTTGTAAGTCATTTACAAAAAATATAATATTGTAAGATATAGCTTTAAAATAAGAATTTGTTAATATGAATTGTGAATGTAAAGGCAAATGCTTTGTAAAAAATTGTCTTATAAATTAACTTTTACCGATTTTGAAGTAGCTTAAAGAAAAATGGTCCAAATAAACTTTGTATATGGATGATGATTGTATTTTGAAGATGTGGTCTTTTTATATGTGATAATGTTTGTAGATACA